AATTTTATATGTAACATATAAAAATCACATGATTTTTAAAAGCTTAAGGCTCCTGAACCAAGCAATTTTTTTTTATTATCTCGACGATAGATTGTAGAGCTGGTCAAAAGCTATAAAATATCGTCTTTATTTTTTTGAGATAACCATTCAGTATTTCCTTTTTAGGTTTTAAAATTAGTCCATTTTTATGTGATGGCTTATGATGTTACGCACTGTACACGTACGTACGTACGAGCTTGAAAATTTTTTACGAGCATATCATGTGATTTATGATAATTTTTATTGGTTGATCAAATTAGTGATGTTAACCGTTTAAAAATCCTTAGCCGGCTAAGCCGTTTACTACCTAAATTGGTAATTTTATTTCTATAACAAGAAAGTAACGCAAAAATCTACTACCAAATTTAGAAATTATGCATGCAGATTATTAGCCGGCTAACATCACTAGATCAAATTTAATATATATATATATGTGTGTGTTAAATTCGTCAACTTTTGTCACAGCAAACTATAATAATAATCAAACTCTTGTCATAACGGATTTTTAAAAATTTTTGCTTCGCATATAACATATAAAAATCCGTTGTGGCAAGATTACTAATCTTGCCACAACGGATTTTAAATAAAATTTGTTTATGTTACCATGGCAAGGTTTGACTATATTGTGGAATTAACTACATACTGTATATGATTGGAGATATTTAATATCACTATTAATTATTTTGAATTGATAGTACAATTAACAAGAATGTAAAGATAAATTTTTTATTTCATTAAAATAAATAGAAAAAAAATATTTAGGAATCGCGGTAATAATAATACTACTAATACTACTAACAATAATGCACCCAGGATAATGTAAGTATTATATGATAATCAGGGTTTTTCTGATAACGAAGTAGTATTACGATCTGTTACGACCTTTAATTATAGTAATCGTAATAGTAATAGGGCTGACAGCATAATATTATTATAAAATAATATTTTATCACCACAGAAAATCATTGTATATACAACGAAATCGCACAACACTGACTATAATGATAACGTATATAATACTACTACATAATAACAAGGGATTTAAATAAGCATATATAACATGATAATCAGGTTTTTTCTGATAATGAAATAGTATTACGACCCCAGTTACAACATCTGGTAATCTGTTAATTATATAATAGGGTTATCGCTTAATAATAATATTATTATTATAGGATTTTACAAAGTAATATTTTATCACCGCAGAAAATCATCGTTCCTGATACATCGTACATTCGTACATTCGTACGTACGTACGTACGTACATATGTAAAATTTCCCCGTACAGGTGTACGACCACAACGAAACTGTACGAACTCAATGGTACGAAGATTCTTCTCGTACAGCGAAATTGCACAACCCTGGTTGAACTCAAGAAAAACTCGACTAAAAAAGAAGCAGAACATATATTTTTGTGAGGCCAGAATTGGAGGGGGACAAAGTACCTGGTGACTTGCAGATTCATGAAAATGGCATTCATTATATGTTTCGTCATTAAAACCAGAAAATAGACATGCTATATAGCAATGTTAAACATTTATTTTTCCAACCTTGTGACTACGAGTTGATTGTAATTTTACACATACATTTAATCAATCCAATTATCTTTGGAAAGGAAAAGGCCAAAGACATTCAGTTTTTCCGTGAAACGTCTGATGCTCAATTTGACAAGACTGATAATCGTAAAAGATGAGGTTGGTTCAGAGCTAAAAGAGTATAGAAGATGATTCTTGTTAAATAAAAATTTTAAAGGCTTTGCCAATAAAATTGCATAGTCCAGTAATTAAAAAGTACATGTGGATGTTCCTTTTAGAGATATTGGATTCTTCGGTATTCCATTTAAACCAATATATTATTACAACTAACAACTGATTGTCTTGTTCATTTAATAGATTTGCCATTTTTAGTTATAACTATGTCTGATGTAGAAGTAGTGAACTTGGAAAGAATACAACATGGATTTAAAAATTTCGACGTGGTGTTAATTTTCAAAGATTGTACACGCCCACCAATACATATTAACACCATTCCAATGCATCAATTAGAAGGTGTAAAGGAATGGATGGATTCAACAGATATTTTATTTTATGAAGGAACGATTAATTTAAATTGGGCACAAATAATAACAAAGATCCAGTAGGATTTTATAATAATGGTGGCTGGTCATTTTTACATGAAAAGGATTCGGTTTCAGTAAGTTGTGAAGTAAATTCCATTATCATTATTATAAATAACGTCGGGAATTCATTTTATTATTTCGTTAATAAAATCAATAATAATTTACAGAGTAGCAGCGATGATTATGAAGAATCAGGAGGAAGTGATGAATCTGGTTTGTATTATATATTATATACATTTGTTTTAATAATAATAATAATAATAATTCAATGGTTTTAATAGGTGACGAGAGAAAACGAAAACATTCCATTGATGCTACTACAGGCACAAATAAAAAACTCCATATATGAAAAAATTTAATCAATTATTTTAATAATTGTTATTATATTATATTACATTTGAATAAATAAAAAAATAAATATTGTCAAAATGAATGTTTATTAATGTAATTTAAATCATGAATAATTTTTTTAAAATAGATTTATCATTATCATTATCAATTATATATTAACAATTTTTTAAAGAACAAAAAATTCAATTGATTCAAAAGAAAAAAAAAAAGAAAGAAAAATATAAAAGTTACGAGTTTGGAATTAATTATCTGTTCAGAAAAGCATATAATATCCAACTAACTATTATTTAAAATCAATTAATTAATAGTTATCGACACGAACAGTGGTGTTGGTGTTGGTGGTGGTAGTTTTTTTATTGCTATTATCATTATTCTTATTAATATTACTATCGTTTTTAGCACCAACTACAGAATCACTTAGCATAGAAATAATACCCAAGGTGAATGTTGTAATTAAACTAATCAACAAAATAATCAAGTTTCCATCGGCATTATTATCATCAAAGTTCTTATTAAATTGTCTAGTTTTTAATGCAAGCTTCTGTTCATCTGATAACAAAATGATCTCTCTAGAATTAGAAATAAGAAACTCACTTTTATGGTTGGATTTCGAATGGTTACGTTTATGTAATGATCTTGATGGTTTATTGTTATTGTTATTGTTATTAGAGTAACTATTGTTGTTATAATTATTATTGGAGTTATAATTGCTCATAAAATTCGAAATATCTGAAATTTCTCTTGAAGTAGTGTTGTTGTTGTTATTATTATCATTATTATTATTAGGCAAGAGGCTTGGTTCGAATTCTGCTGCTTCTAATAATGAGGAAGTAAGTTTTTCAAAAACTGTATTATATTCACTACTATTGACAATTGCTTCATCAATTGCTGCTTCTTCTTCTTTTGATAAATAATCATCAATCGTATTCGAAATTTCCTCCCCATCAAGAATAATAGCTGCTTCTTCTTTTGATAAACAATTATCAGTCGTATTCAAAATTTCTTCTTCATCATCAAGAATAATAGCTTCTTCTTTTGATAAACAATCATCGATCGTATCCAAAATTTTTTCTTCGTCAAGAATAATAGCTTCTTCATTATTGGTGGTGGTGGTGATGGTGGTGATGGTGGTGGTGGTGGTGGTGGCGGCGGCGGTAGTGATGATATCAACATTAGTTGAAGATGTAATTCCTTCGATTATTACTTCTTTTTCTTCTTTACTACTATTATCATCAATTGTAGAATCATTATTAACAACTAATTCCTCCTCTTCCTTTTGTTCTTCCTCTAATGATGTTAAAACACTTTCAACGACAATAGTTTCATCATCATCCTTGCCTCTCTCTTTTTCTTCTGCTACAAATTCAGCATCGGAGGTGGCCGTTGTTGTTATTGTAACTGTTGGAGCAACATCATCATCCCCTTCAACATTTTCTACTATTGTGGTAGTGGTAGTGGTGGTTGTAGTCATTGTTTCTGTAGCAAAACTTAAACCTAAGACATCATTGGTACCATTATCGATTATCCAATTTGAATCATCGGATGATTGATTATTGTTAGAATTAAATTTCGATACATTTTCTTTGGATTCCCAAGTATATAAAGTTAAATCTTGATCATTTAAAACTTCTGGCCACTTGTTTCTATCCACAATTGGATCTTGTTCACTTGTAATTTCTTCTGACCACATATTTGTGTTCGAATTATCAAAATCTTTATCATCAATAATAGGAGAAGATAGAGAAGATTCTTTTATGTCGTCAGATGTTGTAGTTATAGTATCAACAATTGTCTCGGTGGCTTCAAGTTTTTCTTCTTCATCATCAAGTTCCATATTTGAAAATTCTTCATTGTTTTTGATTTCACCAGAATCAAAATCATTAATAATTTCACCAGAAAATAATAAATGATCTTTATCAATTGCTGTTGTAGTTGATTTTGTAGTTTCAAAAACGACATTTTTAATAATATCATGATCATGATCAATTGTTGTTGATGATGATTCAATAATTTTACTGTACTCCTCCTCATTATGATGTTCGTCTTCATTCTCGTCACTGCCGCATTTACAATCAGCACAGCTACAAGATTCTCCGCATTTACAAACATGCGCTTCAGTTGATAATGAAATAGTTTTATCATGCACCTTCTCATTCTCATTCTCATTCACATCATTTGCTTCTGTTGATATTGAAACAATTTCACTATGTATCTTATCATTCTCATTATCATTATCATTATCATTCTCGTCACTGCCGCATTTACAATCAACACAACTACAAGATTCGCCGCATTTACAAACATGTGCTTCAGTTGATAATGAAATAGTTTTATCATGCACCTTCTCATTCTCATTATCATTCACAACATTTGCCTCTGTTGATATTGAAACAATTTCATTATGTATCTTATCATCATTCTCATTATCATTCTCATTCTCATTATCATTATCATTATCATTATCATTATCATTATCATTATCATTCTCGTCATTGCCGCATTTACAATCAACACAACTACAAGATTCGCCGCATTTACAAACATGCGCTTCAGTTGATAATGAAATAATTTTATCATGCACCTTCTCATTACTATCATTAACATTAACATTAACATTAACATTATCATTAATAATTTCACTGTGATACTTCTCCTCATGACGATGTTCATCTTCATTCTCACCACTGCCACATTTACAATCAGTACAATCACAGGAATCACCACATTTACAAACATGTGTATTGGTTGTTATTATTGATGATTCTTTTTGCGTTATTGATGATATTGATGATAAAGTAGCGGTAGTAGTGGTGGTGACAGAAGATGAAGATGAAGATGAAGATAAAGATGAAGATTCGATTGTTGACTCTGATGACTCGAATGTTGATTCTATTGATGATGATAAAAATGGCAAAATTCATTAATAAATTTCATCGTATAATAATAATGATAATAATAATAATAATAACAATAACAATAGTCAGGCATTTCTTTTTAAATAATTCTTTGACTAATTATTTATAAAATTAAATAAATAAATTACCTGACACAGAAAATTTTAATGTTTCAAAATCATTATCATGCACCAAATCATTATCAACTGAGGAAAAAGATGTAATTTCGATTTTATTATCGTCATTCACATTTTCTTTGGTATCTTTTTCTTCTAATTCTTTAATATCTTCGTTTGCTTTATTGATCTCTTCGACCAATTCTTTTGTTGTGGTAATTTCATCGTCAATTTTAGTATTTGTGTTTTCAATTACAACATTACTATCATGATTTTCTTTTTCGCCATCCGACATCGTAGATTTCTCATGATCATTATATTGTTCAATATTATTATCGTCATTCACTTTTTCTTTAGTATCTTTTTCTTCTAATTCTTTAATCTCTTCGAACAATTCTTTTGTTGTGGCAATTTCATCGTCATTAGTAGTTGTGTTTTCAATTAAAACATTACTATCGTGATTTTCTTCTTCGTCATCCGACATTGTAGGTTTCTCATTATCATTATATTGTTCAATATTATTAATTACTTTTTGTTCTTCCTCTTCTACATGTTTATCATTTTCAAGATCAAGGTTATATTCTGGTGATTCTGGTGGAGTTAGGATAGGTGCAGGAGGTTGAATAATTGTTGAATCTTCTTCTTTAGAAATTTCTGGTAATTGTGGTGGAGAAGGAGGAATGGGTTGTTCAACATCAATTTCATGATTCCAATTTCCATGTTCATCAGGATAACTAGCTAAACTAGGATCCAACACCCAATCACCATCAATAACAAATTTATAATAATATTTTTTATTTGGGACCAAATTTATTTCAACTTCGCCATTTGGCATTACGATTGGTTGCCATACCGGATATGTGGGGGGATCAAAAGTACCAGCTATTGCAATATTATTACCCCAATTTTTCCATGTGAATTTGGTGGGGACGATGATTGGTTTGTTCTCTTCTTCGGTTGTCATTTTAATTTTTGATGTTTTTTTTTTTTTTTTTTAAGATTGGTTGTTTCTATTATTTTTATAGAAAGGAAAGATTTGTTGAGAAGGAAATAAATAAATAAATAATGATAAAGATAATAATAAATCGATTGTGCTACTGTCAGAAAAAAAAAATTTTTTTTTTTTTGTTGAAATAATAATAATAAGTTATTATTTTTCCGTGCGAATAAAAAAAAATTTTTTGTAAAAAAGAGAAATTTATAAATTTATAACAAATAAAAAATTTGACGATTAGATTATAAGGATTATATGGGAAGAAAGAATTTTTTTTTTTTTTTTTGTAAATAGAGTAAAATTCAGTTAAAACGTGATAATCAATTCAATCAACGGATGCGAAAAAAAAGTAATTAAAATAAAAAAATACTAATTAAAATTAATTTATTAATAATTGATAGCAAGTACACTAAAAAAAATTTATTTTTTTTTTTTGCTCCTTGACTTGTTTTTCTTTTTTGTTTGTGAAGATTTATTTGATTTAAACAATAGATTTCATCACAAACTTAAAATTTATATAATATATATATATTATCAAAGAAGTATATCGGGATATTGTTACTAATAATTAATTAAACAAGGAATATAAAGTAGTTGAAAGAGTAAAAAAAAAAAAAAAATTTTTTTTCGTTTCTTTTAAAATTTTTGAAAAATAAAAAAAAAAAAAAAATATATAGCTAAATTAAATAAAATTTTTTTTATTATCATTATAATCATTACTAAATATTTTTTTAATATACACTTTTATATACACACACGCATATTTTTTTATGGGAAAGAGAAAAACGTGTATTTGACTTAAATAAAAAAAAGAAATTGTTTATTTGTGTGGGGTTTAAAATAACTATTAAATAGTTTTAATATTCATATGAAAAATAATAAAATTGAAATTCGTTTTTTTCCCCCATTTAATATTCAATGTTTTATTTTCACGCTGTTTTCATGATTAGTCATACGTAGCATCATAATTGGGGTCGAAAAAGAATGGAGATGATTGTATGTTTGCGTGCGAGGAAAATGGATAATAATGATAATGATGCAATAGTAATAGTAATAATAGTAATAGTAATAGTAATAATAATAATAATAATAATAATGGTGATAATTTTTATAATGGCCCTGGTCACCACCATCACTCATTCACTCTCGACAAGGAAAGATTCGGTCATAGATATTAATGGAAAAACAACTCACGCACAGCTGACTTCTAAAGTCAATTTAAATTCAGCTGACAAAGTCGATTAAACCTTTTTTTTTTCGATTTTTTCAATGATAATAATAATCTCGATAAAGTTAATTAATTAAAAAATTAAATTAAAATAACTAAAACTAAAAAGTTATTATTGCTAGAAATAGAATTAATTAATTGGGCACATGACTTCAAGAAAATTTTCTTTATTTACTATATACATTGTTCTTTATCATCGAAAATACGTGTTTAAATTTTGTGAGTTTTGTACTATCGATAAACTGTCATTATTTATTATTGTTTTTGTATTAGGGAATTGAATTACATTCTGCACAATCTCAAACAATAAAGATGCATGATTTGGCGTTCTTGCAAACAAACGAAATAAAATAATATTTAATAATAATATTTAAATTGTTTTCTTTTTCTTTTCCTTTTTCTACGCAATCCGCTGCAATGTAATTCTGCAACCACCCATTTTCTAATTTCTTTCGTTTCATCCTTTATTTCCAAATCACAGACATTTTATCAAAGATTATCATCATTTGAACTGATGAATGGTATATTATATTTGCGCATGTGCGCAATGTGTGCGTGTGCGTGCATGTATGCGTTAAAAAAATTTTATTGTTATTATTATTATCTAGGTGTAAAATTTTTTTACAAATCCATCCATATATATAACATCAATGATGTTATTCTTATTATTTACCCACACATGCTCACAACAAAAAACAAGTGTTTCATATGTAAACCCAGAAATTACCCTAAAATGGAAAGAGAATTTCAAAATTCTCGGGAGATAAAAATTTAATATTATAATTTAATTAATTAATGTTAATATTAAGCGAGAATCTGGATTTTTAAAACACTAGTATTTATTTCTTCTATGGTGCTAATCGCCTAAGATCCGGTCTTATTAAGGAAAGACAATTGTGGATTAAAAATCCTTTGAATATTCAAGTGATCAATAGAATTAGACAAAAGGTAAATGAATGGTATGGTAAAATATTTTTCCGTCCCATTTTTGTTTGTCACCTCGGGCTTGAGAGGCTTTGCTTATTGGTTGTTTAGCACGAACACGCTCCTCAATGATTTTGTTTAAAGTATCATCTGACAATCTCGGTTTTTTCTAATTTGTAGTTTTCTTGCCTTTATTTTCATGATTTTTAGTGTAACAGCATCTTTTTAATTTTGTTGAAATGTGGGCTAAATATACTTCTTCCCTTGAAGCAAGGATTAGTAAACCATTATCCATCCTCAATTTGCTTAAAAAGTTTAATTTAATCAGCTTGGGTTTTCTTTTTCAAACAAAATGACAAGTTCATAGAGCCATTTTCTTTAGTTGTCAAAGCTACCAAAACTGGATTTATTTTTTCGTCCCAATGCAGGTTTTGAGATAAATTAATATACGTACAATGGACCCAATACAGAAATCTATCATTAATTGATTGTATAAAAAAAATATTGCAAATATTTGTTTCAACGAATTTTACAGTATATTTAAATCGTTTTATAACAAACAGCGATTTTTTTGGTAGGATTCTTAACACAAGTTTCATCGAAATCACATGGTATTAAGAATAACTAAAAACATGGTAAAACTATAATTCTATGATTCTACATAATTAAAATTATAATTCTCTATAATTTTATCTCTTTATGCACAACTAATAATCTCTTTATAAAAATGTCTCTGCAACCATCATCTTCATCATCCTCTTCTTCTTCTAAAAGCGTGTATATTGCTGCTGAGCAAAAGTACGAATTATCTTTATTGAAACAAACTAAACCTCAAATTCAACGAATTAGGTGATTGGCCCATGTACTCGTTGAAACAAAAGGCATGACTGTATATATTTATTGGTAATTTTTTATCTGTTATTTTGCTAGATCACTGTCGTAAGAGATACCTTGACCCATACCTGTAATCCTAGTAGCATAATACACGAACAATATAATAATTGATAAAGCATTAATTTAAACTACAGCTAATCAATGGGTTGTATTAGTTAGTGGTCACTAATAGAAAAAGGACAGTTTAGAATAAAAATCAGTAAAAATCGGGTACCTGATCTTTTACCTATTACTATTATTTTTAGAAGAATAGTGATTATTTCGCCAAAAAGTGAAATTATAGCATTTGAATTATGTACAATTATTCCATGCCGATTTTAAACTGAATTATATCTATTTATATTAATATGAGCAATTGTACATCCCCAAGGATACCTTGCTGATTTTTAACAAATGATATTCCAAGTAATGTTAAATTTAGAAATTGTATCGATTTTAATATAATTAAGCAATCAATATAGAGAGATCTTTATTATTATTTTAAATTAATAAATAGTCTTAATAATTAATTACATTTGTAAGAAAATCAATTTAATTTTTTTGACATTCGAATAACATTAGCAGTTGAAATAGGAACTATATTAATCTATTAGATTCTATTGTGAAGAGAATACAATAATTGGTTCATTAAGATTAGATATTGTGAAATAATAAACCATTAGCATTTGAGAAACAGTATCGACAAAACACGGGATTTTCCCTGGTGCTAGTCACATGATAATGAGAACGAACAAACTATTACTATTATTTGTTTTATATTTGAGATTTAGAATACGACCTAGAAGGAGACTTGGAACGGACATAGAAAAATATCCTTTAATTGGTGATAAGAAATCTTATGTTCTTCATATAGTTTATTCTTCATTAGTCCTGAAAGTTCATTTTTTACCATGCACTCATCATGTATAATTTCGATTTTTCCTCCCGGAATAACATCATTGTGCCATCTAATTTCCGTATTTAAAAGCATCGGGTAAGTTGCCTCTCCCCTTTTACCTGCCCATTCAAAGTCTATATATTTCACCTGGTTATTGTTTCCTATTATAATATTAGGACCTCTTAGGTCTCCATGTACAAAACCATTACTATGTAACAGCTTGGCGGAATCAAAAAGTACCTTTTCAGTATTAGTATTAGTATGTTGCAATTCCGTACCTATTCCGTACCTTATACGCGGAATCAAAAACGTATATACCAGCCACCCGTGATGTCACACAATCAATATAGCGACTGTAATAACTGTGTAACATTTCGATTTTTAGTATTAAAAATTCAACATAAAAAATTTCCTTCACAAGTGTAACTACTGTTTCTTTTTTAGTAAGGGTCACGATCTTTTGCGCAGACATTATTATTATTTATTTCCCTGCAAAATTTGAACTATTGCTTTATAAGAGAATGGAAAAGGATGGTCGTTTGAAAATTTCTTCTGCTTCGGGTTTTAATGATTGACAATATTACATACAAATAATGCTGTTGGTTTAAGAATTAAAGCTGCGAAATTATCCTTATGGCGGGATTCTTTATTCATAATAATAAATAATATTTAATCATATTGCTGAACTAATCATGGAAGCTTCCTGA